TGGCCTGCTCAGGCCTGGGCTCCATCCTCAGCACCAGACACACACACACACACACACACACACACGCACGCACACGCACACCAACAAAGCTAAACTGAAATATTTTTGTAAACTAAATAATATGCATCTCTCCATCCTGCTGTTGACGCACATCTGGGGCCACCTCCATCGGGTCTGGGATCATCATGAGTACAGCCTGGGGGACGGTCCCTGCACTGGCTCTTGGAGGATGCGGTCTTGGGTTCCTGGGAGCCCTTGGCCCTCCCAGAGTCCACGCAGCCCCGGGCCTGTTTCCGGGGTCCCGCAGCCACGCTGGCTGTTCCCCGCTGTTGGACCGGCCTCTCGACCTCAGCACGCACTGCCCTGGGCCATCAGGTCCCCTTTCCCAACCTCCCAGCTCGGCGGCCTGGCCAGCGCCGTGGTCACGTGGCCCGGAGGCGCCCGCTGCCCTTGGCTCTACCGCCCCCTCCCGAGCGCGTCCCGCCGAGGGCGGCTGCAGGTGGCGTCCCCTCCCGCTCCTCCTCCCGCTGTCCCTCCCGGGCGGCCCTGGTGTCCCCCAGGAGAGCGCCCAGCCTCCTCTGCCCTCCTCCAAGTCCCTCCAAATGGCCGCAGGAGCCTCCGCAGTGGGACCGGAGCCGAGTTCTTCTGAACCCTCCTACAGGGCGCCTGCGGGACCCCAGCACCTGCCACCGCCTGTCATCCCTCCCGGGCGCCCCTCGCTCCCTGAGTCACGCCTCTCCGTTCCCCGGGGCCTTCTGCAGGTGCGCTTCCTCCCGCCACCCGTCGAGTCCCGGCTCGGCCCCGGCGGCTTCCCGCGCTGACCTGCCCTCGGCGCCCTGGGTCCCGGGGTCCTGCGCCGCGCGGGTCCCAGTCACCCGCCTCGGGACGGCGTCCTGCTCCAGGGCCCAGGAGCCCAGCCGTGGACGCCCACCGCTGACAGCCAGTCCCTTATACGGACGCTGATTCCTTTTCTTTTGTGGCTCTTGGAAACACTGTGACAATAAATAACTATCTACATGTCCCTTGGCACATGCAGGAGTCAACCTGAAGGGCACATTCCGAGAAGCAGGATCCCTGCCCAGCGGTGGACTTTTGCATTCTGTGACCGCTGCCAAAGACCCCTTCACTTGGAGGGCCTCAGTTGCTCCCCTGCTGACGGAGAGTGACCGAGTGACTGTGTTCATCTTCTGCAGCTCTGTGGGCCCAGTGGGCTGTCCGACAGGGACCTGAGTCCATCCAACTGAAGGATGTGGCTTCTCTCTCCTGCTGCACGTGAAAGGAAGGTTTCTACTTCCAATCCAACAAATATCCCTTGAGCATTTATAATGTGTAAGTCACAAGTCACGAGGTGAACTCAGTTCCCAATGGGGTGCTTTTGCAGATATAATATGCTTCTAAACATTTTTAAATTAAAATAACAACTATTAGAAATTTTAAAATAGAAGAAGTATCAGATACATGGTAGTCCCAGCAGCTCAGGAGGCTGGGGCAGGAGGATCACAAGTTCGAGGCCAGCCTCAACAATTTAGGGAGGCCCTAAGCAACTAGTGAGAGAGACCCTGTCTCAAAATAAGAAATGAAAAGGGCTGGGGGTGTATTTTAGTGGTAAAGTGCCCTTGGGTTAAATTCCCTAGTACCGGAGAAGTAAAAAATAAAGTAAATAAATGCTAAAATACAAGAAATATAAGGACAAACAAAATGGCCAATTAACTCTCATTGTTCTTTCCCCCCCTTGCTTCATGGTCTGGGGATCAAACCCAGGGCCTTGAGCTAGCACTCCACGAGGCCACCACTAAGCCACATTCTCAGTCCATTTCTTTCTGATATATTTAAAAACAAAACAAGTAACACTTGTAGATGGTTAGAAAAGTGAAGCTACTCAGAAAGATTAAAAAAAAACTCAGATATAATCAACTACCTCCAAACTCAGGGCATTAAAATGATAACTCTTTTTTTTTTTTTTAAAGTTTTTAGCTGTAGATGGACACAATATCTTTATTTTTTATGAGGTCCTGAGAATCAAACCCAGTGCCTCACACGTGCCAGGCAAGCGCTCTGCTACTGAGCCCCAGCCCAGCCCCTAATGACCCTTTTCTTAAAAGCTCACAGACCAAAAAAAAGAAGACAGAAAGAAAAAGGTACCTGGTCACTCTATTAACCATTTCCTGTGGTTGCTTCTGGAAACCTTTCATGCATATGGAAGAATATTTATATGTACACAACAAAATATTGTTTCACTTTTAATTTACCAAAAAAAAAAAAGCTTCTAACGCTCTCTGGGTCCTGCCCCTTCGTTTCTTCATTTAATAACATCCTGGATCAGCGACTCAGCAGGAAAGTGGGCAAGAGATACGGACACACAGCTCAGAGGAAAGGAAAGACCAACAGCTGGAGACAAGGAAGGGCGTCCAACTTCCTTTGAAGTAAGAAAAATGCGAATTAAGTGAGCAGAGAGCTCGGGCCTCACTTGTCGGATCTGCAGGAACCCGGTGCCTCGCACCTGCGCTGTGGGCCCCGTGGGTGGAGCCGGGATCCCAGGAGGGGACAAAGTGGAAGGACCCGCAGCCCAGCCCTCGAGCGCATCTCCATGTACTCTCACTTAAGTACAAATGGCACAGACCCACAGAGGCTCCCTGTCGCCTTCCCCACAGAAGGGACCTCTCAGGCTGGGGACCTTGTAGGTGTGCTCCCCTCGGAGTCCCCAGCTCCTGGAACAGTCTCTTGAATGCGTAGACGCCCCAGAGACGATCTCGGTCCATGTCCACTCTCCCCTTGGCCCTCCCAGACTTTGCTGAGATGAGGTTGGACTCAGGAGGCTCCTCTGTCCCCATTGTCATGTGCAAAAGATGGAAGCCGCCCGCGGGCCTGGCCCTTATGGAATCGCCCACGACCGCTGGCTCTCTGTGTGTCCATCTCCAGGCCACCTGTCCCAGAGGGCCCTTAATGTGCATCTTTAGGCAGTAAAGCTTCCCTGGGAGAAGTCACCGATGTCACCGCTTGTCTGTTCTGTCCTGACTGAAGTCGTAGTGGCTCAATAAATCTTGTGGAACAAGGATGAGCGCGATGAGCAGGGGCGCCTGCGGTCCGGGAATGAGAGTCAGCGGCCACATGGTCAGTCCTCGTGCTGCTGGTGAAGGAGCGCACACCTGCAACCCTTGGTGGGCAGCGCGACTGTCCTGCGGGGAGTTGGCACCCGAGGACACCCCACCAGCAGGTCTGCTCTGCCAGCCAGGGTGCCGGTACCTCACACCGCACCTGCCTCTCTTTCTGCCCCATCTTGGTAGCACCGAGAGGTAAGTAGCTCTCCCAAGGTCACACAGCTGGCACCGTGGGCAATGTTGCCAACTTTAAAATGATCAGTTCTCAGGATCCAGCTTCTTCAAATGAACTGGCCGATGTCCAAGAATCTCTTTTTAAAAACCTCCCCATCTGCTGCTGCTGAGCCACCAGCTTTGGGAATCGGGGACCTGGGGGACGTAAGGGTGCCAAGGAGCGATTTTGTTGGCACAGGCAAGGCATCTGTGCCTGCGCCCTGGGCGGGCATCTTCCTTAAGATGGTCTCAAGAATTTTTTGAAAAAGAAATAAACTGATATAAATGAATCAAAACTCTATATTTCTTTCTGTTTGAAAAAAAGAAGAGAATTTATTCATGGGTACATTCATGGAATTTCCCAAACTAGACCAACTTCTTTAGAGCTATGTCATTTAGAATATAATTCATTGGTGGGGTCCAGACACATAAAGTTAGACACTGAAATATGATATAAAGTTATCTCACACAAATTCCTAAGCTGGGGAGGTGGCTCCGCACTGGAGGTTGTCAGGGGCTTGGCTCTCCAGCTTGTCATCTCCTCATCACCCACTCGTTGTTCCCCCTCCCAAGATCCAAAAGGCTAACCAAAGTGGTTGCCTTCCCAAGTTCCGCTCACATCCCATTGGCCACACATCAATCACATGACCAACTGCTCACTGCAAGGGAGTTTGGGAAATGTAGTCTTTCTTCTTCTAGAGTGTTCCTATCACTTTAAGGGGAACACTAATATTGGAGGCAACTCTCGGACCGTACCACTTGGAGGCATTTTTAAAGAGCTTAGAATTTAGATTCTGGAACAAAATAGATTACTCATTCCCAATAACAGCACTATGCCATATGTTTTCAGAATTTCAGCTGACCATGACTGCCAATTTCAGGAGGCCCACTTGGCTGGTCTTGGGGTTTGTGGTATGCCTTTTGGCTCCATAATGCAATAGACACATGTGGGTCCTCCAACTAATCAACAGTAATAGAGTAGAGCCAACAAGGCTTATTTTTTAATTTTTTTTTCTCTAGGGTACTGTCATCAGTGTTAAAGATAAATTAATTAATATTTTGCTGATTATGTAAGAAGCTGCATGTGGAAAAAGAAGGTTTCTTTTGGCTCCAGGCTCCTGCTCTCCTTCAGGAGGGTTTAACATCATGGCGACATTGGTGGCCAGGTTACGATAGGTTTAGCAGGCCATGGTGAAGGGTGTGGACTTCACCGTGAGGGCACAAGGGAGCCATCAAAGAAGTCAGAGCAGGGGAGGAAGCCAATCAGATCAGTACTTTAAAAGCTTTTTCTGAAGCCAGTCGAATGAATCGGACATAACTTTCCTGTGTTCATACACGAATACAAGACCAGTGAACCCACATCATGTACAACCACAGAATGGGAGGAAGTCATACTCCATGTGTGTATCTCAAAATACACTCCTCTGTCATGTGCATCTAAATGGAGCAAATAACAAAAAATCTTCACCGCCACACACACACACACACACACACACACACACACAAGGCTTCATGGGAGAGGCAGACTGGAAAGTTTGAAATGTTGGCTGGGGGGTGAGATAGTCTGCACACAACTTGGAGAAACGATTTTCACATTTAAAACTATGGTTTTCTCAAATCTCACCATCCCATAACTACCATTATTGCATATACCCCCTACTTCCTGAACATTATTTACTTCATTTTTTTTCTTTTGGAAAACGTTTATTTGACTTAAGTACATTCATTTTTAAAGGAAACTTTGTGTCCAGTGCGTCAGTCCACCGGGGCTAGGCGTCGCTGCAGTAAAACTCGGATTCCCCGGAGGTGCTCCCGCAAGGCGAGTTTGTCATTCAGAGGACTCGTTGGTGGGGGCTGGCTGCAGCTCTGGTCCGGGGGCCTCCTTTGCTCAGGTCCCTGTTGAAGGTGCGGGCGCCGCTGGGGTAGGCCGCTGTCCCAGCAGAGAGAAGAGATCTAATGGAGACCCAGGGATGGCTCCGGAGGCTTCTCCTAGGGAGCTTAGCTCACACGGATCGGCCAAAGGAGGTCACAGCCAGGCCTGACTCCAGCAGGGAGGGTCGTCGGGGAACAGCCAATAAAAGGAAGACTTTGACAGTAACGCAATCCACCACGTCTACTGGGAGGGAAGGCCATCAGCACCTGACCGCAAAACGTAAACATTGTGAGAACATGTAATTCAGTAAGTCCAGCCTAATCTTGCCTTCTGGGGACTCCGAGCCTGCAGCTTGCTCTAGTAATTAAGAAGGGGCACCGGTAAGTGTAAGGAAGGCGCAAGATTCGCTGGAGTCCCGTGGAGACTGTGGCCCAGATGTCCTCCGGGGGGTGCAGAGGAGTGGCCTTGGCCCGCGGTGCCCCACGCGCGCTCTGGGCTCTTGGGGAGACTTTGCTTGACCATCACGCTGGGGGAGGTGGGGGAAGGCAATCGGGGGTCTGAGGGCGAAACGCTAAGGGCAGCCACGTGCTGAGGGGCGCTGCTTTGCGCAATGCCACCAGCGAAGCCCCTGCAGTCGTGCGGCACAGCGGCCCGCGAGCGGATTTCCGCGGGTTTCGGGGCTTCCTCCTCCCCTCGGCTCTGCCCGGTGGGCAGCGTCGCCTCCGCTTTACAGCCCAGAAAACCAAGGATTCACGTTTGCTCAAGGCCAGGGCTGGAGGCCGGGGTACTCAGCTCCAGACATGACCACTTGGTGTCACTCTCTCCAAACTGTCGGAGGAGCGCGGCGCTGAGCCGGGTGGTGTGCGGGACTCTGCGCACTGATCCCGGGAGAGGCGAAGGGCCCCATCCTGGCCTTCCTCCTCGGGGTCCTCCTGGTGCAGAATTCCTGTCGGTTCCCTGCTTGGACGGAGCCCCTCTCTGCGGACACCTGGAGCTAAGCGCTGGACAGGCTCCTGCTGTCAGCTGTATGGCCTCCTCGTGTTGCAGATGAGGAAACCGAGGCGGAGAGAGTTGGGGTGGCTTAGTGTGCCCCAGTAATAAGTGGCGGGTCAGGATTTCACCGCAGAGAGGTAGACGATGGGATCCTGCCTAGCAGGTGCGCGGTGGACAGCGTACGACGTCGCAGTGTCCACAGAACAGATTTCCAACTACCTGACCACTCGCTAATGAATGTTCTTGGCCATGACAGCAATCTGACCATTTAGGAAGTTTTTTTTTTTTTAATTGATTAACAGAGTTGGTTTTTCCTCTGACTGCCAAGAAAACGCCCAGGTCTTGCTTTTAAATAAAATTAAAAAATTTTTTTTTGGCCTCAATTTATTTTGAGAATTATTATTTTTTAATTAGAAAATCGGTTTAAGTAAAAAGAAGAAAATAAGTCACCCAGAGAGAAGCGTCACCCCGCCCTGGAAGAAGGTCCCACCTGGGGTTTCTTTCCTCCATCTATCAAGGCGTTAAAAACCTCCCAAATACTTAATGGGAAACTGTGCTCACACTTTAAACAGTTCAAAAGGTTCCTGGAGATTTATGGTGGATGTTTTCCCTCCAATCCTTGCCTCTCCCTGTCCCCGCCCAGCCGCCACGCGGGTCACCACTTCTTGGGGATCCCCACGGAGATCCAGAATGCAGAGAAGCCGGGGGCCCAGCTCCCCCGCGGCCTTCTCCAAACAGCAGCCGCTCCACCCCTGCCCAGGGCCGGGTTCCACTCACTCCTTTACCCACTGACCACGTACTTGGGGGGGTCTTTCCAGATCAGCCTCGAGAGCGCTCTTCACGAAGTCCACCGTCTGGATGTAGCGGCGTCCCACCCAGCTTCCGGGTGATGGTCCTCGAGGTAGTTTCAGGCTTGCTGTAGGGAGCAATGCAGTGGTCAGCGTCCTTCCCCCAGAATGGGTCCTGGGTCTGTTATTTCTGCAGGACAAATTCCTAGCCATGGAACTGCCCAGGTGCATTTTTGAACTTTGACAATGAGCGTCTAAGTGCTGTCTAAGGGGGACCCAACCTATGTGAGCCTGCTTCCTCCTCATTCTAACCATGGCCCCGGATCCTCACTTGTGGACTTGGCCTTGCCAATAGAGAAGGCTTCTGTTCCAGCCTGGGGGGTGGGGTGGGGGGCTTCCTTTCTATGTTAGGGTTTGGAATTTAAAACATACTCAAAGGCCATTTGTGTCGTTTTTCTGGTGGCCAATCACTGTTCCTTTTCTATTGGATGATCACCTTTGTATTGATCTGCAGGAGCTCTTTACATACTGGGAAAGTGAGGTCTTTGTCTCTCTTATGTATTGTGAACGCGCACTGTTAAACACCTCAAACAAAAGTGATATCCCTTACGCACAGTATTTCCGAGGCCAGCGGTTATTTTATGTGGCTCTCTTTCCACATCTGTAATGGTGGCTTTGCAACAAAATTGTGTATTTTGCCATTATTTAAAAATCTTTTGGGGCACGTTGGAAGTTCATCAGATGCTAACAGCTCTGGGTTTGACATGAAGGCAGCAACAGCACGCCTCGGAGGGAGGACTGGGACGCGGCCCAGGTGCGCCATCTAACCCTCACTTAATCTGAACTCCCAGCAGCACTGTGCAGTCGGGAACATGTCCCACTTTGCAGATGAAGGAACAGGCAGAGGAGTCATGGCATTTGTCCAAGGTCTCCCAGAGAGCTGGTGGAAGAGCTGAGATCAAGTTCACATCAATTGGTCTTCTCAACTTCTGCGGCTTCCACATCCTCTGCCAATTGGCGGGAAGAAAGGCCCTGGGAGGGCCCCCTCCTCCACTCCAGGTGGGGGGTATCATGTAGTTCAGGGTCCAGGCCACTGGGGGGCGCCAGGGATGCATTCCTGCCTGGTGTTTGGGCTGGGAACCAGCTGGGTCCAGGCACCCTGGGCTGGGATTATCCTGGGCCTGAGATCCAGGGGCTGGGCTGGCTCAGGGCCAGAGTCTTATCACACCTGGGGCAGCCTCTTCAGCCTCTGCCTCCTTGGAGAGGCCGAAAGAGAGAGAGAGAGAGAGACATGACCTTTTATTGGGGAGAAGCCATTCAAATCAGGCCAGGGGTCAGGTTTGGGGGGGTTGAGTCTGGCTTCATGATGTCTGCTGTCAGCAGGTTGACTGACAGCTAGGAAGGCCACACCCAAGGGCAGAGCAAGAGAAGGGGACACACAAAGGGAATTTCCGGGGAACATTCTATCCCAAACAGGGCAAAGGGGTAGGATTACAAAAGAACAGGTGAGTGGAGCTCAACCAGGGGAATGCCTCTCAGAAGGCTGGCCTTGCCACTCGAGTGGGGCAAAGACCAAGTCTGGAGCCATGGCACTGCCGCGCCAAGCTCCAGAGATCTTTCCAGATCCCCTGGCGCACCAGGACTGGAGGGCGTGGTCACTCAGTGTGGCTCCCCACAGTTTTTGGCCTCTACCCATTAGGTGTTGGTGGCCTCTCCCCAAGACGTCTCCGGACATTGCCACATGCCCCTGGGTTGGGGCACAATTGCCCTCCACTGGGGATGGCTGCCCTCAGCCACCACAGACGGCAAGTAGGTGACAGAGTCCAGCCCTGCCCAAGACAGTGGCAGCTCACACGGAGAGCATCCCATGGGAGCAGACTGGCACCCGCCAGGGGGCACGGGCACCTCCTCTCCACAGATGAGGAGGGCCAAGCCCAGGGGGAGCCAGCGCCTTGCGCAGGGCACAGGGCCACAGGGTGCCACAGCGGGGCCTGGGCAGACCCTGGGTCGTTGCCTGTGAGCACCACATCCCCCTGCCCCCAGGAGGGGCTGCTCATGCCCAGAGCCACAGAGATGTCCCCCTCATAAAGAAGTCCCCTCCCGTCGTCTCTCTGCGCCTTTCCATTTCCCTGC